AACGGGTTTGCCCTTTACCCAACGTATATTAATAAGCACTGTATGCACAGTGCTTGTCCGAGAGCTTGCGAAAAGAAACCTCACAAGCTTACTCGAGTGGGACTCGAACCCACGACCTCCTGCTTATTAGTGCAGATGTCTTAACCACTCGACCACCAAGCTTGCCGGGGTTGGCTGGCCGGTCCGAGTCTCGGACAAGCACTGTGCATACAGTGACTGAATTTATCCTTCAAATGTTGCTGCATAATGTAAGCCATCTGGCGTATGAGCCGCAGAGTCATTTTTCAGCATTAGAATCAATGTATAAGCCATGGCTTATATTCCGAAAATTATGTTAATGTTTCATACTCAGTCACATGCTGTAACTCAGGGTGGGCAAGTCTGAAGTAGTGCTGGGTGAATTCAGAACTTTCATACATGGTTACACTGAGTTGTATTGGGCATGATCTAGCAATTGTGTTCATACTCAACACTGTAGCATCAGACCCAGAGCAAGATCTGATATATAGTGAGGGAAAAAAATGCTAACTGAGACCTAGATTATATACTTTACATGTACATTGATCCTTGCAGGATTCTTGCTGGGTTAGTGTAGAGTAGCTCAGGGATCCATGTGCTCATTTCTTTTTCATTTTAAGTATGTAACATAAATAAACTTACACATTCAATATTACATCATTTAACCTTACACAAAAACATGTATTTAGGAGGTAGTGTAGCCTTTCAAGTTCTTTTAACTTTTTTGTAGATGATGACAACCCCCCAGTATCATTTGTCAAGTTTTCACCCAATGGCAAGTACATACTGGCTGCTACGTTAGACAAGTAAGTGTTCACTAAATAAAAGAAGGGCCAAGTCCAATTTTTGTGTATATAAATAAAATGTTCATTTGTGACTTGAAGACAAATTCATGTAGTGGCATTGCAAGTCTAAAAAAAATGAAGATATTTTAATGTGGATTTGGCTGCTAATGTATCATGATTTCCATTAAATATAAAGTTCACATATCAAGGTATTCAGATTTCAAAATAATGTTCTTTGTTCCTTGATGTTGCAAGTAGCAAATAACTATTGCAGTTCACATTTAGTGATGTTTCAGCATTGTGATGGCCAGGGTCCTCAAACTTTCTTGCCATTGTTGTGGGCAGAGTTATCACTGAATAATGTAATTAAACTTTAAAAAAAGGTAAAAATTCAACTTCTCCCATCTGTAGCATCTGCAGTAATGATGTCAAGTCTTCTGCGTTCAACTTACCTGAAACGCTTGCTAACATATTATTTCCCTAATGCCAGTTTGCCATTCTCTAAAACTTGATCAAGTGCAGTGTGCCCTCATCTGCCACAATACAATGCATCATTGCCACTGTGATCGTCCTTCTTTTCTTAGTATCATAGTTTATGGACATGTATTTGATACCTTGCTATTTATCAGGATCCTTGTTTCACTTCTGTGTTAATATTTTGATTAACTGAGCTCATAGTAGGTTTGTCTTTTTATAAAGTCTTGTGTTTTCTCTTTTATGTAATCTTTGAGAATAAATCTGAAGTAAATTTTCCACTTTTCTGCGTGGATATTTTCTGAATTTCCTTGTACATCCTTTAAGTGTGCGTTTGTTTCTCCCCTGATAATGATAGTATCAAAGCATGCTTGCCACGACCTGCTGACCACCGAGAGTTGAATAAACGAAGAAAGTGCAGTATGCCGCAAACGGTCTCATCCTGGTCAGGGAACATGGGCCCAGACTTCCATTGTATCCTGATACAGCGGCACTTGGCGAGAATGGGGTAAAAGCAAGAAAGTGCAGTATGCCCCAAGCGGCCTTACCCTGATCAGGGAACACAGACCTTGTCCTGTATCCTGAGACAGCCATGCACACTAAGAAGTGTGGCAAATTCCTAGTGGCCTCATCCTGGTCAGGAAACATGGACCTTGCCTCCATCGTATCCCGTGACTGCCATCCTCAACAGTAATGGAATATAGTAGAGAAAGTACTGCATACCCCCAGAAGACCTCCCAACCCTCTTTACTGCGGTGGAAAAATTTGGCTTTTTCACTTAGTTTCCGCCATTCTGATTTTGCCCCTAAAATTTCCACCAAATCACAATTTTGACACGCCTATGTATTACTGGAAACTCGTAATCCATGTAATCTTGTGAATGTACAGTAACACGACTTATCCAACTTATGCAAACAGTCAGTGCAGTACATGTTGCACTTGCCACATCCGGGGCAGTCCCCTCTTTTGATGCGTACCAGCTGTGAGATGGACGTAATCATGGACGAGATAACAAAATTGTTAACGGACGAAAATACCCTCTATCAACAAGCTATGTTGTATATAATACTATGCATTGCTAGCTAGAACATTTAGGAACCAAGATTAAGCACCATGTTGTGAATTTTTCACTGAATTTCGCAGTGAATCAAGACAATTAGGAAATGAAAATTATTGCAGACCATTTCAGATGATGCAAACTCTTGTGGAAATCAAAATTTTGTGGAATCGGTGAGTACGTGCGGTACTCTACATCATCATGGACACAGACTCAACTCTTATACAATGCAGTGCTGGTTTTTCCATGTTCATGGAAAGCTGACGTGATGGATTCTGACACCATTACCCAAATGTATTGTTATTGACAAGTGAAATACCATTTTCAATATGGTCACATGTTCAGTAGGCTGTATTCCAATGACATCCTGTTGAATTGTGGGGAGAAGGATTCTTAATTCTTGATAGTCAGTGTTGGGGTGTCTGCCCTAACGGTGTCAGCCTGGTTATAGAATACCAGATCGGTGCCAGTTGAGGATGGGCCTACCCTGAACACCCAGTAGAGCCGATCATGCACTCACTGGAGTGTGGCCATTTCCGAGTCATTTACTGTATATGCTTATGAGGTCTAGTGCAGACAAGCACAAGGTACGATCGTGTCCAAGATGTATCCACTGCCTGCTACTAGGTCTGACACAGGGTCACCGTGATCATAAAAGTAAGTAATCTGAGTGCCTTGAGTTGGTTCCTCCAGTCATGTTAGATATAATTGAAAGGATGGGTGGACTCTTTACCACAAACCTGCACATGGTAAGAAGTAGATGAGTAGTCATAAGGGGCATTCTCTGTGCGTAGATGCTGAACCCTTCCCCTTGCTAGCACTAACTACTTAGTTTCCTGGTTTACCGGTATGCAAGTCCCACAGGGAACGTGATCATTTCCCTTTCATCTTGCATGTTTTAGGGTATTCATCTAGGCATTAATTAAAGTAATGTTCTATGGTGTATAGTAATAAATTTCACATTGATGGAAACCGTCAGACATTTAGGCATGTATTGCTGGGACAATAATCCTATTCCACCGCCCATCAATGCTGGAATTAAGTTGGTAGACAGCTTACCGAACTTTCCCGAAGAGACTCTTCACCTCTGCTTGGAATTACCCTCTCAGTGCTTGCAACTGGCTCTTTGTGAGCTAGTAACACTCAGACAACAGCCGTGTCTTATCGTGATAACAAATCGTCTCTAGGCTATTTCTAGCAAGAACTCATGGAGGTAGTCCAGTCAGTTCTATCTGTGTGAGCTACCTTACTCAAACACCCTACTTAACCACTGAATGATTTCACATGTGGCTACGTCTCCCAACCGGAACTTCAACTTTGATATCGCTACATACTACCAACCCCGCACAATCCCCCAGCCTAACAGACCAGGCTGACATAGTTGCACCAGGTAGATGTGGTCCGGCAGCCACTGCCTGTTAGCCGCAGCATGGTTGCATTGTCCGATGAGCTTGAGGTGGTCAGTTTTGGCTCCGAAGTTACTCTGCCTCCTGATAAGAAAATACTGTATGTGGACCCATACCAGATAATGGTTGTTCATAGGAAAATACTTGGGTCTACTTCGCTCTGCCTACCCAAACAGTTACTACATATGCAAATTTTCCATGTGCGCATGGCCATTCCCTGAATAAGACTTTATCATCCAAGATGCCCTATGATCTCCCACAATGCACTGCGGTCTCACCGTCATGATCATCCTTCTTTTCTCAGCGCCGTATCGCAAAGGACGTGTCTTTTAGACATATTCGAGTTTTCCATTTTCGCTACACACTTCTGTGTTGATTGTATCATCCAGTCATCATGTCTGAATAAACCTTTACCTTATGTGATTTCATTTGTGTTGGTAAGAGTGTTATTTTCTTGTTTCTCGGTGCCCTTTTTTGTCTTTTTATTTGTGTGTGCATTCTGCAGGTGTTTACCGTGAGTTCTAAAAGGAACAGTCAACCCTACACTCCCCATAGGCTTGGCTGCTTGTGTGGTTCATTCATTTGATAAAGTGGCCCGTATAATCCACACAACAATTGCTGCATGAGAGAGCAATTGTAGCAGCAATTGTGGGTTATGGCCTAACTGCTTGAGAGAGCACTTTCGATTTAAAGTGGTTTAATGGGGACAAGGCCTAGCTGCATGGGTCTTCACCCCAATATGTGGCTCTGATGAGGCTAGATCGAGCCCGCGTGTTCACGCGTGAGCTCTGATCACGGACGAAATGAGGGCAAGGCCAAGCCACACGAGAGAGCATTCCATTTCCTAAGCGGCTCAGACGAGGACTCTGGCCTTAACCGCGACGCTCAATTCCGCAGTAGTCAGACTCCCATGGGGAATTTGTGGACTTATAATTTCTATTTCTCCGCCTTCCAACAGACCGCGGAGTCAACTGAGCCAGCGCTTCCTATGACCGTCAAAGACCCAACAAGTTGACCGACAAAACACCTACGGCTCACAAAAGCCAGCGGACTAACGGGGCTCCTGTTCTCCAACCGCCTGCAACGGCTTCCGGCCTCCGTAGCTCTGCTACACACAAGGCTGCATCCTCGGTAGCACCGGCCAACCCAACACCTAGCCGGCCTCATACCAACGCCATCAGGGCAGCCTCCCTGTGCTCCACTGGGTTGGGATTGCCTGATGGTTCTCCAATCCAAGGTGCCGGGGCACCCAGGAAGAACTCGCCAGGCTTTGCGGAACCCACAGGACTACTTCGCCGCCATGGCTTCAGACCTCCACAACCCATCCACGGCTCTGGCTTCTGGCTTGGCATTCCCAGTAATTTGGGAGCTGGTGCGGCTGGTCCACCGCCCCAAGAAGACGGCTTCTGTACTAGTCAAACTCCTGTCTGCCCTCCGGGGGATCAGCCTTTGACTTTACCCACAGCGTCGACTGCTGAATCTCCCCCTCGTTCCAGATCAGAAGGCAAGCGCTGTTCTTCCCCTTCATTGGTTGCTTTGAAGACCAAGAAGAGACGTCATTCTAAACAATGTGAATGCTCCCCTGAGCCATGGTTGACAGCGTTCCAGTCCATCAGTGAATCTCTGATCTCCTTTGTTTGCTGCCTAAGCGACAGACCTGAGCAAGTTTCCACCGCTCCGGACCCGGATCTTTCGCACCCGGCTCCCGCAGCCTCAACCCGCTCTGCGGTTACGAACGACTACTCGGAGCGCAGTACTCACTGAAGCCTGGGCCAAGGTGGTGTCCCCCTCCTGAACCTTCGGTCACATACGGGAGCACCCATAGATCTGACCCTGTCATGGCTGCACCTCAGCAGACACAATCGTCAGGAGAAGACGACGCCGACTCAGCGGGCGACCTCACCCCCTCTGAAGGCTCCATCTCCTGCAGCATGATATGATCCAAGTCCTCGGCCTTCCAGCTCCTGCTCCCCCCAAGAGGGGCACCGGCCACGCATCTTTCAAATGCAATGTGACTAGGCTGGAGTCTTCGGGTCTCGGATCTCCCAGAGATCCCACTTGACTGCTTTTGCATTGAGATCTTCTATTCAATCAGCAAGGCTACACACTGGCACTCGAGTTGCGAAGACCATTGCCGCCCATTTACGCCAGCTGGACGTGCTCATTTTCCATCAACTCGTCCAACCTACGACCTTTCTTCTCGCCTGGGCTTCATCATCAATCGAGAGAAGTCAAGACTTATGTAGCCATGCTCAGTAGCCAACCCACCACCAGTAACAGTGCCATTCTGCATATGTAGTGACTGTTTGGGTAGGTAGAGCGCAGTAGACTCCTCCCCCACATTGATTGTGTGGGTCGGGTCTACTAGAGAATACCTACCCGAACAGTCTTCTCCTGCCCATCCTCTCCACCAGGCTACGACTTTAGTCGACTATCATGGCGGTGAGACTGCAGGTCATAGGGCATATTGGATGATAAAGTCTTATTCAGCGAAAGGCCATGGGCACATGGGAAATTTGCATATGTAGGGACTGTTTGGGTAGGTATTCTCCAGTAGACCCGACCCACACAATCAATCGGGGAGGATTACATGGAACTGACCAATCAAGTCCTACTCCCCTACAGTTGTCATTAGATGTTGACATTGATTGTCTTCCAAGATAGTTTGCTCATTTCAATAGAGTATGATACAGGCTTCCAGCTTTTGCCCCGAGGCTCGTCTTGTGTCGACGTTACTAAACATTCCTTTAAACGTTTGTACAGTCACATGAAATGTTTGGCCAAAGCTATAACTTGGTGAGCCTCCACTAACCAAACTCAAGAGAATATGACCATCTGTGGTTACTGGCTCATCCTACTGTATCTGGATGAAGAATGTGGTGTCTTCTTTGAGCAGTCACCCACATCACTCCTGACAACTACCAATCATGGTTCCATCTCCTAGACATGTTGAAATACAATAGGAGTTTTGTTTATGTCAAGTCCTGCCTACATGGCCTTCCACACTTTGGAAACTATATATCTGCTGATCGATTCATGGAGTTGCTCGAAGCTGAAGTCATACACACTGATGGTATGCACATAACCGTGTGACCACATGACTATGCACATGACCTGCACATATAAACCCTCCTTTTGTGTGGGACCTGCATATCTCTTTTGACCTCCTCAGACCTTTCAGAGGGAACCCCTCTTTTCACATGACATTCTTCCAAAACAAACTGTATTCCATGTGGATGTACTGAGTTCTGCATTAAGACATGTGCCTCCTACTTCGGAGGCTGGTGTAAATTAGCTTAGCGACTCTACACTAGCCCTAGCCTCTGAACTTGTTGATGGCCAACAGCAACATTCCATAGAGTCATGAGGAATAACTCAGGATGGATTGCTGTTGGGGTAATTCGTTACAACCAATCCTTCCTACAGAAACAATGGCATAAGTTGAACGCTCAAGACATTGAGTCAACTTTCAATCCACTTTTTTCCTGGCTTTGAAGAAAGATCTTGGCAAATAATGTCAAATCATTAATTTGCATCCTCTCAACACATTAACTCACCTCCAGTGCTTCAACATGGAGATACTTCAACAATCACATAGTAAATTTTACAGCACACATGGGCATCATTCATAAATCTCCATGATATCTATCTCCATGTTCTCATTCACCTTCAATAGCAAAGTATTTGTGGTTATTGTGTAATGACATTAAATGTTTTGCTAAAGCTGATCTGTCTTATCCTGATCAACTGTTGAGTATTGTACAATTCCATACTTTTATCTCATATCTTTTTTTTGTGTCACTATTGTGTCACATTTTTGCAAAATAATACATTTTAATTTGTTTTCATGCTATTACATATATTTATCACCGTACCTGCTAATGCTGTTTGTACAGCGCCCCCACTATTTGTACAGCTTGGCCAATACTTTTTCTTTAGCCAAGTCAGTGCTTCCTTCTTATACATTTGTATATTTTTACAAGTCCTTCCTAGCACACTTGTTATGATAATTGTATTCCTGGGGCCAGTAGTCACCCTTTATGGCTTTATTTACTTGTTATAAGAATTTTTTTAGTCCCTCTGTCATTATTTTTTACAGAACTTTGCCTGGTAATGATCCCTTTAAGGCTTCCCCTTTGCCACCTTTCAAAATTTCAGGGGCATGCAGACTAGTGGTTAGAGCCTTTGATTTCTGATTGCAGTGTTGGAGGTTCGATTCCAGCTAATGCCACTTTGGTACATTTGCATGTGTCTCTCTTTTTTCTTGTGTCTCCGTGCATATCTGCACGCTTTCTACAGGTCATCTTGGAAGCAACTGGGTACATCCACTTAGAGCCAGGTATTGGTTCCGATCACTCAGTACCCCGCTATGAATACCCCATTGGCTTTGGCGTTATTAGCACCAGTATGGGAGCTGGGTGTCCATGGGAATTCACCGTCCTGAGCACCACACAGGATCAAGAGGATTGGGCTGACGTTGCCCCAGTCCCCATGTGTAATAGAGCTCCCTGAGCCCCTGTTCCGGCTATGAGAGTGGACAATTGCGAGGTGGCTGTACCATTTTTGGTATCACCGGATGGTATGGAATTGCAGACACCTCACAGAGGCAAGCCCATGCCTCCACCAATACTACCCACTTCATGCCTCTACCCTCCACTGGACTCCAATTCAAGAGCAGAAAAGTGTGAAGCAGAAGAGTGCGAAGCACAGGCCGTTTCCCCGTCACTTTCTGTGGCTGCCCCATTGAAAGAGTCACTGGAGTGTGGACCAGTCACCAGAACTACCGAACCCACCGGTCTACTATGCTGTCAAGGCTCCTGCACCTCACAACCTCCTCTGCCTCTGGTCTTGGATACCTGAGGAGATTCACTCCGTTCCCCTCGGTCGTCCATCCGTTAACCACTCCCTGCTGGGGATTCCGGATCTGGACATATATGCTTTATATGCGTGGCAAGGATCTCTGAACTCAGACAAAGGGAACAGGGCCTTGTAACAAAAGACCGTACTCAGAGCAAAAGACCAGGCTAATGAGAATTACCGACATTTTTTCACTCTCAAAAGTGGAGATAGTCCAGCCTTGTTTTGAAACAGTTTGAACGGTTTGGGGTATTTAGAGCGAGCAGATTATCACCAGGGACAAAAGCGCTCCACCACACAGCACCGCTGCATGCTAATCTGGCCCCTATTGAAAGGTCAGCAGCACACTGAGCCATGTTCGTGAACAAAAGAAAGTTATATAACACAGCACAATCTGGGCTCTTTTTACAAGGCTGCAGGCCTGGCTGAAATACTCAAGCATCAATACATTTTGTCTGTCCGCTGGAGTGGTCACCAGACAGTTCTTCACGTGTTTGTAAATGTCCAGTAAATGAAGATAGTTATTTTTAAAGAATTTTGAAAACAAACAAAGGATAAATATCCCAGCTCAGCATCATCAACATTGATAACTGCCCCGGCAGGAAGTGGTTAATTCTCTTCCAGGGAAGACGATATCGACTCCGTGGCTAGCGTCACCCCTCCCGAGTCCCATTTCTGCATACTCAAGCATCACATGATCCAAGTTTTGGGCCTCCTTGGCATCATCTCTGTCTGACTATGATCCCCACTCCACCCAATGCCGGACTCTGGAGTCGGAAACCAGCTCCCTTCTTCAGAAACGACCTATTGCCCCAGTCTCTCACCCATCCTGCAACGAGTTCATTTCAACATTCTTCCTCACCCCAAAGAAGGAGCATTGCACTCAATCCTCAACCTCAAACTGCTGAACAGATTAAGTTGCCCTTGGCGCTTGCGCATGGAGACCTTGCATACAGTCACCCAGTCTCTTCCCATCCCAACCTGGGCCTCTACAGTGCGTCTGAAGGACGTGTACCTGCACATTCTGATCCACTCCAAGGACCAAAAGTTCCTGCGATTCATCTATGACGTCCAAACCTTTGAATTTGTGGTGCTTCCCTTCAGCCTTTCGACGTCCCCCATGGTTTTCACACATGTCGTCAGGTCTATCATGGCTTACCTCCATTGCCGAGACGTCCTAATCTTTCAATACCGGGACAACTGGCTCATTGTCAGCGAGTCCGCAATCGAGGTTAAGGCTTCCATCTGCCTCGTCTACAACCACTCCACGAGCCTGGGGATCCTCATAAACCACCAGAAGTCAAGACCCACTCCCACTCAACGTCGAACCTACCTTGGGGCAACTCGCGACCTCCAGTGGGGCAGCGTGACTCAATACCCTAAATCACGTCACCAACATGGTCACCTGCGTCAACTTCTTCCTCCTCGCCACTCAGCCCCAGGTTTGGCTTCACCTCCTTGGCCTCATGGCGAGTCTCATGGACCTGGTTCCATTCTGCCGTCCCTACATGCGTCCAATTCAACTGCATCTGCTGGCATTCTTCCACCCCAGCCGGGACCCAATAGACTTACCCATGCTGGCGATGAAGTTCATCATCCCGCATCTTAGCTGGTGGTTATCAAGCTCCAACCTCACTAAAGGCCTCTCCTTCCCCAAGACCTGCTCCGCAGCTTGCCATCACGACCGACACTTCCCAGTGGGGATGGGGCACCTCCCTGCCTCCCCTACAAATATCAGGGACTTGGTGTCTGCCCCTTCTCGGGAGTCACATCAACATCCTGGAATTCCATGAGTTTATATACAATTCCCATCCTTTGTGAAGACACTGCTTTCTTGTTATTGATGTAAGGAAAATAATAAATCTAAATTGTTATAAAATGTGTGCACATTTGCATATTGAGTTCACTTGTTTTTTATATACAGTAGACATATTCCATCTGTAATGCATGTCAAGTTTGCTTTAAGACAAATTCACTATTGCACTTGCATTCATGGAACACAGAATAATGTTGTGTTTGTCGCATACTAGTGTTGTATTCGCGTCTGTCACAAGTCCCTGTAAGTCCATCACAAGTCATTCAGTTTGAAGCAATTCACAAGCCATTCAAATGAGCTGTGAGAAAAGCATTCTTTGTCATAGTTCACCCTGTTACTTATGACTAGCCTTGTGAACAGACTTGTGACAAGACTTGTAATCGACTCAAATACAACACTGTTGCATACTAATAGTACACGTAGTACTACAAAAGACTAAAATTCAAACAACTAGAATGAAACACAAGGTAACCAACTTTTTGTTTTAGTGAATGTTTATTTTCCAGTTTAATTGAGAGTAACACAAAATTGGGAAGCTTTCCTCAATAACGTGAATTTGTCAAAAGTCTCAAAAAGAAAGGGTTCTCATAGGCAGCTGATGAAACCAAATTTGAACAAGTTGTATTGAAAGTGAGTGTCAACCAAGGGAGTATGCACTGTTTTACTCCAGTTTATTTCAAATTAAGTTGTGCAAACAAGCTGAGCAAACAAAAAATTTTAATTATATATGGAATGTATGTGAAGGTTGTAGCTATAAGTTGGCCCTACAGTTCTGTGATTTATTTCAGGTTTCTATTTGAAGAACTACTTATGGTTTGTGTTGAGTTCCTTTAAGACTTGCAGCTGCTCTTTCTGAATTTACAGTCTTTTCCTCTCCAAAGCAAGCTTCTCTCTTTCTGTCTCCAAACTTGTCATAGTTGACGTCGCTGTCTCTTGCAGTGGAGGAGTTTCTCCTCTTCACTTTTGGTGACTCAGGGTCACAACCTTGTTGCATCATAACCACTACTTCCCCAACATCCACATGGTCCTCAGTATGACTGACGGCTGCATAAAATTAAAGATTAATGTAATTGTACCTTTCCATGGAATTTTCAAATGAATTCAAAAACGTTTTAACTATTCAAGTTGTACGTTTGTAAAGTTGGGATATGCTTTCTCAGACATCATAGTTAATAAGGTACAGTTGCTTGTGAGTTCATAGAAGTAATTTATCACACTTTTACCTTCTGCCACTTGGTTCAGAATTTCGGTGGCCTCAGGGCAGGTTTCCTTCTCTATCCACAATGCCAGTGTCATGTTGTAGGCTGGCTGAAACTGGCATTTGTCCTCTTCCTGAAACAGCAACATATAATAGGGTTAATTAGTGTTCAGTCTTCTGAGCCAGTCTTAAACCTTAGATTAAGACCGGCCAAGCACATATCTATTCCCCTTCTTACCTTTGAAATACCTTTTTAGTCAGAGAGTGAAGAGAAGTCCATTTATGATGGATTTCTGACAATTTTGTTCTAGAATTTACATTCATTTTCCTGAGCACCTCTGTCCATTTTATGGTGTATTCCTGACGCAAGTTGTCCAAAAGAATCTCCTTGTATGGACTTGGTGAGCCACTTGCACACAGACCCTTGATCCATCAGAATCAATGAAACTGTCTCATATCCAAATACCATTGTTTGTCTTTCCCTGTAGTACTTCCAGTCATCACATGCAATATCTTGCCACTTTTTCCTAATCTTCTGCAAGTCCTTTGGTTCTCCACCACTGGCCCTAAGGGTGTCAGCTGCCATCTTCCAATACTTCCGTTTGTCCCTCTCCACACTCTCTGCCTTTGTGGGATGTTCCAAATAGCTTGTTTGTATTCTCCTGAAAAAAAGACACTGAGAATGTGAACCTCCTGAAAGGACCAATTAGTGCTTCTTAGATTTCTTAGGCCTAGTACTACAACTAGCCATTTTGGGCATATTTTGGCCACTTTGTATTCTTTTCATTAACCAAATTGCTGCTGCTATTTTTTAATTCAAGACTAGAATTAGGGGCCTGGGGGGATGCATAAACAGTCTTTTCTCAATCAAGATAATGTAACCCGGAAAAATAGCTCAAGAGCCATAAAGGAAAAAAACTAAAAGAACAAAATGTAAACATGTGGGGAACTCGCTTTACGGAAACAAAGAACAAAACTAACTGAAATCTTTCAGGGAGGGATCGCGAGATTACTCTATGAATAAAACTATAAACAGAATCTAAATGTAAACAATCAATCAGTTCGCAATCTTGGTGTCTATTTTGATTCATCCATGTCAATGTCAAATCACGGTCTAAACCTCAACCACAGCATCCATTTCCAACTTCGTAACATTTCACGGATTCGCTGGTTTCTGCATTTTGAAACTTGTCACCATGTGACATGGATTCTGTCCCATTTGGACTATGGTAACTCTTTACTATATGGCATCACAAAGTCGGAGCTTGATAGGCTTCAATGGCTACAAAACCAGGCTGCACGCATTATATTCAACATGGATTGGCGTACATCAGTTTCTGCATTACTTACTGAACTTCATTGGCTTCCTGTCCATAACAGAATCTTATTTCAAGATGGCTCTTCTCATCTTCAAATGTCTTCATCGCACAGCTCCTCGATACTGTCAAGACCTCATACACCTCAACGTGTCCCAACCTGGTCTTCAATCCAATTGTGATGCCACACTCCTCTCAATCCCAAGATCTAGAAACACCTCCATAGATAAAGCCTTCATAATTGCTGGCCCAAAGCTTTGGAACATAATACCATCAAACATTAGGTCGCAGGACACAATATTATAATTCAGGAAACACTTAAAAAGGCATGTTTTTCCAGTATAGTCTCATTATCATGTGTTGCGTAGCGCCATGATCTAGATGGAATGGTGCTATATTAGTCTTGCTGTTGTTATTATTATTCCCACAGAGTGGACACTTCACCAAGAAGTAACCCAGTCAGTATTTTCCACACTTGCCAGACTTGGCAATGACCTGTTCGTATCAACAGGAAATATCGGCTGTCCGGTATTCAGCTCCTGGTTGCCCCATCCACAGGCGTAGGCAATCAGTTGAAATGACATGTTTACATTCCCCATTCGCCTTCCCACAAATAAAACTCCTGAGAAGTACTGGCAAAGATATTGCAAGAGCTGTCTTACATCAATCTCATTGCTCAGTTTTGGCCACGCCAACTGTAGTACCCTCAGCTTACTAGACCCCTCGTCCATCCACCACTTATTCTTACAAAACAAGCTGATATCCTCTTCCAACCAAAGTCCAAGATTCTACACTTACAGTCAGAGATTTTCCACCTGGCTTGCTGGCCCTTGTGCAATGATCCTTCAAGTTGACAGGCCTTTATAGCGACGCAGCAGCCACCGCTGCACAAGAACAGCGGTTGTCAATGGTGAGATTTACAACAATCGACACAGGGTTTCATTATTGGTGCACAGACCAATCTTTATCACAAACTGATACATCTATAAGTACCGTTACAGATTTTCTTCCATCTTTATAATTTGGGCCTTCAAGTAGCAATAGCTATTGCAGCAGTTCCCATTAGTTTAAATCACAACCATTGAAGCTCTGGGCCTGGGGGAATGTTTATCGCCACCTACTGTATGTCCATCGCGGAACTTGAAAATTATTTATTACTTCAACTCAGCCCCTTTTCCAGTGACACGTAACACCATTGCCCACTGCAATAGCCACTATCAAATTTGTAAATACAAATTAGCCTCATTTGGGCATATTTCAAGGGTGTGCCTACTGCTGACATCTGCAAAGTGGCATGTTGGAAATTCCCTTCTACGTATACTCTCTGTCCAGTGGCAGGTATTTTACAGAGTCTACCCACAGCAGGGCAGTTCTTACATCAGCAATACCAAAGTCCCCCAACCCCCACTTTGTAGAAGTCCATCTATCTAGCATCCTTTGTGGCTGAGTGTCATTTAGATCTCACAATTTATATTATGTGTGATTCCATGTACCCTTTGATCAGGTGCAATTTATATTATTAATTGTATGAACCTGGATCTGCTATCACATTAGCAGAATTTATCATACAATCCTGAGATTGGTGTGTCCTTGCCAACCCTCCTTCGATAAACAGTGCTATTCTGCATTAGCAGGTGATTCAGGTACTGAACACAGTAGACTCCCCCCCACAGTAGTATGGTATTAGTTTACTAGGGAATACCTACCCGAATCACAGATTCCCTCCCGTCCTCTCCACTCTGGCTATGACACTGGAACATTTTTGAAAGGGGACAATTATGGCGGCAATGATACGTTGTAGTGTGGCAGAGGAGGGCACATAGCAGTTTATGAAGTTTCAGCGAATGGCTAGCTGGTGCTAGGGAAGTAATGCATTTGTAGGTGATTCAGGTGAGTATTCTCTAATAGACTCGTACCCCAACTAGTGTTGGGGGGCGGAAGTTTAATGTATGAAGTAAGTATTTAAGTTCATGTAATGTACTGTTGACGGAAAACTGCAAAGGCAAACAGAGAATAATATCTCAGACCTTCAATAGTTGGTATATGAACTTCATCAAAACACTTAAAACCCAGGATAATGTCAGCTGCTATTCAAGCACACAGAACAGACATTGACTGCTCTAACATAGTTTTCAACATTCCTTATCGCTCATTTACTGTCATTCGTATGGCCCATAAAACATTTTGGCTTGATGTCAACACAGCTAGTTCAAGGACAGTAACCATCTCTATTGTCGCTGGGAATATAGGAATATGAGGACCAAAGTGTCTTGTTTGATCCACAGGTTGGCCAAGTGTTAGATTCAAAGCCGCAGTCTGGATCAGGTTGCAAGGTAGCAATAGTGCAATGTTTAATATACAGTGGCACTGGAGTCTTTATGCTTGAGTGACTCACTTTGGTTGATTCATTTTGTTTCAATTTGTTTTATCACTAGCACGTTAAAGTTGTGGGACTACAGCAAAGGCAAATGTTTGAAGACTTACACTGGACACAAAAATGAAAAGTATTGCATTTTTGCAAATTTCTCTGTGACAGGAGGCAAGGTAAGTTTGTTATTACAAATCATACTCCATTTAGTTTTATTTGTTTGTTTTTTCTTGTCTGTGACGTCGTTCATAACACACTCATGAAATGTATAGCATGTTAGCCCATGTGTTATGAGTTATGTATTTGAGGCTTGACGGTAGAAAGACTTGTGCTGGTTTTTATGCACCACCAGCGAAGTCGAAGGGGCATACTGTTTCCACCTGTCCTTGTGTGTGTGGGTAGGCATTCACCAGGTTAAGGGGACATTTTTTTTATAAGGCAAATAACAACTGGGTCTTGGGGACATTTCTCTGTCCCCGTAACATGTCTGTTCACCACAAAATAGGTGAAATATCGCGTGTTTGTCCCCACCACTATGCAACAAGTAATTATGGGTGTGTATGTCCCCAATATTATTGTCAGCGCAATAACTTGAGAAAGTCTTTGCGTATGAACTTCAAAATTGGTTGTGAATTACTATTGGTGATCCTCAGTGGCCTATGAATTTGGGTCTGAAAAATAAAGGTCAAGGTCACAACTGCTAAAACGATAGAAATCTTGTCAGTGCAATGACTTGAGAACTTCAAATTTGGCATATGCATTCCTTGGGAATCCACATATTGGAAGCACATATTGGATACAATAGCAGACCCAATGGCCCAGCAACAGAAATAAGACAAAAAAATAAAATAAAGGAAGTTGTCCCAAGCCAATTTTGAACTTAGTTTGAATGCAACAGTATAAACTTTTTTTCCGTTTTCATAATCCTTCAAAAATTCATCCTTTCATTTAACAGTCGTTTATAGCCGCACCAAGTAATCTTTAGGCACTACTCTAAGTTGACAGGTGACCTTCATTGACGCCCGAGTATTTCAGCCAGGCTAGAAGCCTTGTAAACAGAGCCCAGATTGTGCGGTGTTGTATAACTGTCTTTTGTTCACGAACCTGGCTTAGTGCACTGCTGACCTCTTTTCAATAGGGGTCAGATTAGCGTGCAATGGTGCTTTGTGGCTCATCGCTGCAGTGGTGGAGCGCTTTTGTCCCCAGTGGTAATCCGCTCGCTGTCAATGCCCCAAACCCTGGTATACGGGTTTCAAAACAAGGCTGGATTATCACCACTTTTGAGAGGAAAAATGTCGGTAATTCCCAGCAGCCTGGTCTTTTGTTCGGAATACGGTCTTTTGTTACAGGGCCCTGTTTTCTTTGTCCGAGTTCGGAGACCCCGGCCACCCATATAAACCATACGTCTCCGATCTCGGAGTCCTCGGCAGGAAGTGGTTAATGCACATAGTTGCAGCTTAGCTGCATGTGCCCAAAGAAGGAGACACCTTGCTTGTGTAGTCCTCAAGTACTTTCACATATTCATTTACGTGTGCTTGTGCACACATGCACCTATGAATCTGCACAAAATTATAAATTCTAATTAAGCATTCTCAACCATTTGGGTCATAACTTTCAATCCACAATTGTATGTAATGTGCGCATGTCTACAGGCAGCTGTGGAATACGTGTATGCAACACTAATGACTCCATTGCAGAAAATTTTCCATGATATTTGCCATAAGTTGGGAGGTTTGACCTTAAAACTCACAAAAAGAAACAAATGTATATGTGGATAGACCCTACATGTAACATTTTGTTATTAATTTGCAGAAAGTTTCAAAATATCTTGCTGGTTTTGATGATTTTGCTTGCCTGACTTTTTTGCAAACTTCGGACAAGTATAAGTGGTGCTGTTGTATTAAATTGGTTCCTGGGGTGGTCCATTTACAAAAATGGCATTTTACTAACAGGAACCAACGTAACTGTACTGCATTTCCCTTGCAGTGAGGACGAGCTGAAAGGTGAAACATGCATGGAGATGAACATGCATTTAACAAAAATGCAGGAATGTCCATGGTTTTATTTGTAACTTTTTGTAGGTGTGTTTGTTGGCCCAATATCCTCAAACTGAAACATTTTGTCGTCCAGGCTGCCACTCATTTGCATAGGTAAAAACACATATTGAAATGGGAAGGTATGGGACTTATAGATTAATAAAAGGTAATGACAGATTGTGTGCAAACTTAGTGGGTATCGTGTGTTTCACCTGTAATACGTAATGTGGAACCACATAATGAAATCACAATTTTTTACATTATTAGGAGAAATCTTGCTGAATTTCTCCTTATTTCTCTCGATTTTGATATGATACAGTGGATAGTGTCTGGTTCAGAGGACAACATGGTCTACATTTGGAACCTACAAACCAAAGAGATTGTACAGAAATTACAAGGCCACACAGGTAAAAAACATGTAAATTGAAGTATTTTCACATGAGGCAATTGAGTTACAAGCAGTCTGTTTCACTTTATATTCAGTCAAGGCAACTTCAATGTCACATCAACTAATTCAAATGCAAAGTGAATGTGACACAAGTAATTCGCAATAGGGCAATGTTTAAAACTGCAGTAGCTAACATTTCCAAGTAGTGCTTGACAACATTACGAAGTATCTTGCTTTTGGCTGAGAATTTTGAAAATGACCTCAAGGGAACAAAAGACTGCAGCAACATCAATTCCCATCTTGAAGGGAACTGAGAAATGAGTCTAGGCAAGGGATTGGCTCTGGTGTTGGAAAGAGCAGGCTTATTACTGCAGTACATTAAAGGAACCTTCTAAGAAGGACTCAACAAGCTATTAGTTGGTATTTTTCACGGATAAATCATTGTGTCTAGTTCCAAGGCTGGGTGGAAATCATTTCTAAACAGTTTGACAAAGTGTGGAATTTTCCCATGCACCTTGGAGCAATTGATGGCAAGCACATTGTTATCCAACCCCTGCAAGCTCCAGTTCATTCTACTGTTACAATGGTATCCACTCCATCGTGCTGATGGCAGTAATAGATACAGACCTCCAATTCTGGTACATCAGTACCACAGAATGAGTGAGTGAGTGAGTGAGGTGTATGGAACAAATGTTCTAAATGTTCTCTTTCCAAAGCTCTGGCAGATGAAACTCAACCTTCTCTACCTGAGCCGATGCCATCCAGGAACAACTTGTTATGTATTTGGAGACAATTATGAAGCTGAAAATATCATTGCTTTGTCTTAGCTTAAGTACAGCTAAGCCAAACCTAAATGGGTAGAACCAATGATTTTCCATTTCAAAAATGGAAATTTTCCGTTTCGCCAAATCCCAAATTCCACTTCAGAAATTCAAATTCCATTTCATTCCTTCCTAAACATGAAATAGGAGAGCAAGTTGTAAACTATGTATGGAAATTATTTCCCCCCCCCAAAAAAAGAAACAAAAGATACATAAATAACAATAATACTGTTTGGAAATACTCTGCAATGTTTCCAATTTTTTTTTATATTTTCTGTACTGAAAATTGAAAAAAAAATCCAGACAACAAATACAGTATACCCCACCCCTTGATTTCCCACTGGCTCGCAATCACCAAAAACTTGCTGGGTGGTCATTCAGCTGACTCGTTGCGTCTTAGGCGGTCAGTGGAGGCACTAGCTTAGTTGACTAGGTTGTCTGTTGGAGGGCAGAGAGATAGAATGGTCATAAGTAAAGGATGTCCCGGGGGATTTCTGACTACCGTGGAATCCAGCATCGCGGTTAAGGCCGGAGTCCTCATCTGAGCCACTTAGGATACAGAGCACCCACTAATGTGGCTTGGCCTTGCCCTCGTTTCATAAGAGATCATGCGAACAACGCTGGCTTGATCTAGCCGCATCAGTCGGCTTCATGCACGACTGTTGAGCAGGAGGCACATCCCGTTAGGGAACTTCCACTCGCGGTTAAGGCCTGTATCCTCGTCAGAGCCACATATTCGAGTGAATCACTTTTGCCTTGTCCCCATCCTACCACTTTATCGAGAATCACCCACTCAAGCGGTTAGGCCTTAATCCTCAATGGGAACACCTGTTCGAGCGGTTAAAAGGGAAAAATGCTAAAATTTACAATCCCCCCTCTCATACAGCTAGGGTTGTGTGGATTGTATGGGCCGCTAACGTGTGAATGCGCCCACTCAAATGGGCCCCAAACCGTGGTATACTGTTTCAAAACAAGGCTGGATTATCTCCACTTTTGAGAGTGAAAAAATGTCAGTAGTTCCCAGCAGCCGGGTCTTTTGTTCCAAGTACAGTCTTTTGTTTCAAGGCCCTGTTCCCTTTGTCCGAGTTCAGAGACCCCGGCCACGCATATAAAGCATACGTGTCCGGATCTGGAATCCCCGGCAGGGAGTGGATTATACTTTCAAATAATGGGAAACTGACATTAAATTATTAAAAGAAGATATCCTTAGTGACCAGACACTGGATTTCTCCTGATGCTCAAAATATAAGCAAATTTACACTTTACAGCCATTGTCGAAACTAAATATGAATACCAGAACATGTCAATAAAATATCAAACTTTAAAATTTTAAACTTGTAAATGGACCTTGAACTTTGTTTTAACATTTAAAAGTGTAAATGTCTCATATTTGATGGATATGTGTGCACAGCATGGTTTGGCTTGATAATAAAAAAAAATGAGACCAGGAATGCACTTTCTCCCATAATATATTCTTTAGATTTTTTGTCAAATGATGCTTTTATAAAAAAGAATACAACAAAGAGGATGTATCATATTCATAAATGTATGAACAATCACTTTATAAAGCTTCGAAAAGACAAAAACAATAATTATTAACTTCTTAACTTATTTTTTCATGCAGATGTGGTGCTATGCACAGCATGTCATCCCACGGAGAATCTGATAGCTTCTGCTGCTCTTGAAAACGATAAAACTATCAAAATATGGCGCTCTGATTGTTGATGCTTGTGGAGAATCAAGAGAGGCTTGCATGATGTACGTGTAGTTGATAAGTTAACTGTGACTTACCCTTCATCTCAGACAGCATTTTTTGTGTGTATGTGTCATTTGTATGGCATGGAGTATTGGGGGTTTTTTGTTTGTTTTTTGTGGGGTTTTTTTTTGTGTTGGTATGTTTTAGTATGCCGTGGGAAGACTTGTCTGTACAGTATTTTGGGCAGGTCAAAGCTTGAGCTTCTCTGAGATCATTACCTAACTAATGCAAAGTCAGTGATGAGAATGACTGGGTATAGAGTCACCGTCTTTAGGAAGAACATTTTTCTTTGAAATAGCATTTGGCTTTTGAAGCAGTGCCATTGTTTTCATGATGGTTTATGTCGATGTTGTATAATAGTTGGGACACAAATGCTTACGTAAATGGAACACAAACAATTAAGTCAAGTTCAGCATGCATGAGGAAAGACTGTAATTGGACGTTGAGCACCTAAACATTTTCATATTTTAATGTTGAGGATTTAAGACTTGATATTTGAAATGGGTAACTTATCTGAAAATTGTCTTGATTTTGTTGAGAGTTTCACCAGTGAAAGTCATATTTCACCATATTTCAATTGTTAAAGGCATTATTGTTCTTGTTTCACCTAGTTACATACTATAGTCTATTAACTATTACAGATCAAAACAAGTGTTGTAAAAATGTCACAGAAAAGTCCCAACTGCACCGGTTTATGTTGTCTACAGTGTGAGCCCATTGTTGACCATGGAATACACGTAGAGTGAGCACTACAGTAATGCCATATCCGTACATGTAAATCGTAAATTATTCTGTCATGTTCTTTCCTCTATTTGACTGCTAGATTGGTTTATTTCTGTAGTTCACTTTTGGGATGTGCTCATACTGGGTGGATCATTCCATGTACACCCAACAAACTTTGGCTGTTACTCCCTGTATCCCTCCCCCCGGCAATATAGGGGTTATGAATACATCAAGCGATGACTACAAAGTCCGAATGCAAGCTGTAATGAGTTGGTAGTTGCTGAAGCTTGTTAAATGTTGTTTTGCTTGTAGGAAAAAAAATAAAACTCGAAAGCAGCCACTTTGTGTAGACGTGCTTAGAACTCTCAGCCCATCCAGTTTATTTGGACATGGGCTTTGCTTCACTTTAACTGTGATAAAGTACAAATGTTAAGCCAACAGAAAACAACTGCTTGTCCAATTGATACATTGGTTTGCAAAATCCTTTGCGACAATATTTAGTGTAAGGTACAGTGTGATCTGCCCCCTTTCTACCAGCCTCTCAGTGGATGCTCGCATTTCAAGTCTCCGGAGCCCAACAGTCCTCCTATACAATAATGACACCTGATCGCACACAAGTTACTTTTATCAGAATGAATCCCGTTCAGTTTATTTTTCTAAGGAACTCCCAGAAATTAGTCAGCATATTGCACTGAGTCGACTCTCGTTATTACGAAGTCCGCGGGACCAAGTAAAATCGTTCGGTGTATCCGAAATTCATTGTAGTCGGAACGCAATGCAATGGCTACGGTGCATTGAATGAACAGGTTCAATAATTTTCAAGATGTATTTTTGCGTTTTTTTTCGCAAGCTCTCGGACAAGCACTTAGCATACAGTGCTTATTAATATAGGTTCAATAATCATCTACAATGCTATGTAGTGTACATGCATACACGTGAACGCGGTTGATGTTAATCTCTCGGTTATGATTAATCAAATATATTGTGATGTGTTTAGAATAATAAACTTCACTGTCATATACTGACAACATGTTTAATGTGCATGTAAGATTTAAGAAAAATAAATAAAAATACATGTGGAAACATCGATCCAGGGATTTTTAAAAGATTTTCGATCGCCATGGATTACGACGAAGCTAACAGTAACTAAACGGCATGCACATGTAGGCCTGTGTGTACCCGGAAAAATGTGAAGACTCATCAACTGGAGCCCTGATCCCTGTACTAAGTAGCCTTTCCAACACGAATTGTGTCATGGAGAGACATTTTTATTTAATTTTCCGCTTGTCCTGATTATTTTCGACACCAGTTGCATGACACGATTGATCGATAGTCCGAGTTTACACGCCCACTGCGGCGCGGCCACCCGCGGGCGAGATGGTCGCTGAAGAAGCATGATGTTGCGATGGATAGCTGTGTCTTGCAAAAGCACGTCATGAAAACACACAGTCTCATTGGAAGGTACGCTAGATTTTTTTCGCAGCAATATGAATAATCAGTGTGGGCGATTATTGGGCTCTTGAGATGCGAGAATAGTTAAGCGCACTTATTTGGGGTATTTTTATCGGAATTTGGAAGGGATTTTTTGTTTTGGCATTCGTGTAATCAATGTAAAAAAAAATCTTTGATTTTTGTTATCGTGCACTATGCTTGTCATGAGAACAGGAAACTGGCAAACGATGTATGCATATCGCGTTGTAAGCGTGCGTGACGCATCTGGCCGGGGCGGGCGATAAGCCTCGTACAGCGGCTGCAAATTTTATGGAAGCACGCTCGCTTTGAGTACGAGCAGTACAATCTCCAATTAAATTCACGAACACGGAAAACACAAAAATGGACATGAGATCAATTGTTGTGAATGAACGTGCAAACAAAATTAAAAAAAAATAATAACAAATCGTGACGGCATTGTTTCTTCGACTTACAGCTGTACAGCAGCATTAGTATCCGATGCAGTGGAACATACGACCTGTTTTGGCAGGAACTGTACATTGACTGGTTGCAGCATTTCCACCATGCCTTCGTTGGCAACGGTTCGGCCCGGCGGGAAACCACTGTGGTGCACTGCGCACGTGTTTTCACCACTACGATTCATTAACGCTCGTTATAAATGGGCCGTCAACAGTGGTTCTGGCAACGGAGTCAAGAAAACCTTTGTAAAATGCGATTTCGCTGTAACAGATTGTCTCCCCATAGAAATGTGCACGTTTTCACCGGGACCACAGATTTGTGTTTGTTATAACCGGAATTTTATTATGGCTGATTTCGTAATAACGAGAGCCCATTATCACAATTTTGGAGGCAGAGCTTAGATTCTGTTATTATGCATATCAGATTGTACCAGTTTTGTACATGTAAAGTTGCTCATTGTAAATATCATTGTACCATGAATTAGGAGTTTTACTTTTTGTGGCTAATCGTAATATTACTAATCATGAGAGACTGCCACAGTGAATCATTTTTAATGTGTTAATGTACATATTGTTTATCATGTTACTTTCAGGGTTATTCGTTTTTTATATTAATACAAATACATTGTTTTGTTTCATTTGCTCTAGTATGACATGTAAGTGGTCATCATTAGTTATTGAATCTAGCCACAGATTGTAGAGAGACTGTTAATAAATCCATAATTCTAAATTCTATTTTTGCTTGTCACGAGCAGTACATTTCTCATCCTGTGATTACCTTTTCAGTGTTTATTTAGCATTATCTGAAAAAGTGTCCGGTTGAAAAGTTCTTTAAAAAACGACAAAAAGGAAAATACCACATTTTTTATTATTAATATTCGTATTACTATTATTATTATTACACACTTATATAGCGCCCTTATCCAAAAAGGCTCCAAGGCGCTTTGCAATATAAAACAATGAAAATAACACCTATATTAATATGTTAAGAATACAAATACAGTTAAAATATACATTTAAAAAATACAAAAATACATGCAAAACTGTGGTGCAAAAAACAACACTTCCCGGTGCATCAGAAAACCACACCCAAAATGTGTCGCCCGAACACCGCTGGCGACGTTCCCCGCACCCACAGGTGCTAAAAGCAACATTCAGTGGTGCCGGGAGTAGTAGGAGAGGGACAGTTCTGGAGCACACGCCCCTTTTTGCCCGGTTTTTGCTCAAAACCCTTGGGTAGTACATCGACCCAAAAATCTCGGGGATTTCCACTCACCTTTTGACCCCGGCGCCGCTCGCTCGCTCGCTGGCTAAACAACCCGTGACTAGCGCCGGGGATTCCCACTCAACTTTTGACCC